TTAACACATGTAATTTTCAGGTGCCCAGAGAATGTACAAGGCCTGTCCACAACTTGGAAGCAAACTAAATCGTTATGTTGAAGGTGATCAAAAATAAAAGAATAAAGCAGACGTTTAAAAGCCAACAGTCGCTAAAATGCTGATCTAATCAAACTTGCGTCGACAAACCCAAATAACAATTTATAATGGAGATTGATAAAGAGACGTATTTTCATATGAGCATATTAACCCTCGTCTAAATTAAATTAAATTTGTGAGAAATGGGATGTAGTGGAATATTAGAGACCTTCAGATACACGCTCAATGTGACGTCTTTTCCTGTATTTTCACGTCCACGCACATGTTTGTAACATATTAGCTTGTACATAAACGAACTATACGTTGGTACCACTTCAATATTCGTTTAGTTTCGTGTTGAAGTTAAACACTTAAATAAATTTATTCAGTCATAAAATAATTGTGTGCATATAGAGTGTTCAGTGGATGAAATATTGATGTGCTTGCTAAGCATTTAGATCTTGGGAATAAAGATATTTCATGTTTTCCGACCAAAAATGTTCTATGTGAAATCGTCAAAATGTTCAGAAATATAATTTTCTGAACTTGGGATTTCTGTTTTAGCCATTACATGTACTAACGTCGTTTCTGGATTTCCTTCACTAGCTAAGGCATATATTACCAATACTATTTTATATCTACCCATTCATCTTAATTTTCAAATTTGATGAACTGTCTCGCTTATTGAGACAATTTTGAGAGAGACAGAGATTCTAATTTACATGCTTGAGTGATTTTCTGTTAGAGCATGCCTCCATAGAAATAAAATATATCTTAATACCCAAGTTCTTGATGCTATGCAAACATACCGATCTTTTATTTATTGAACACTGTATCTACACATGCAAATCAAGAAGATTTCTTAATCATTGAACAAAAATATTCCAAAATTAGTGGATGGCATTTTTCTATCACCGCGTATTTTGGGATTTTTGTTTTTTGCAGTTGTGTTTCTTTGGGTACACCTTTACATCACAAAGACTTATAATTTACACTGTATAAAATGAAGAATATTGCTGGTAAATAACGAGCAATTCTAATGATTATTTGCTTCGAATTGCATTTTATAACCAATAATAATCACACACGAAACGCAGACAATAGGGAGGTTAAGCAACACTACTTTTTACAACGTAAACCGGGAACGGGAAGGCGCACGCATGCTTTTCTAGTGATGTGACGTCATATAGTTCTACTTGTTTCCCGGTTTACGTTTATTACAACGTAAAAATCAAAGTCTAGGTAGGTAGGTGGTTCTGTAAAGGATTTGTAGTACTTTATCAAGCTTGATTGAGATATATGGTATAAGTCGAATGCATGAATATGTTTGACACCAATCTGTGTATTTTCCGAGATAATTTAATTCCAATCTTATCATATATAACTTGAATATCGAGGCACGCATTTTATATGTAAAATCTGAAGAGATTAGGCTACATACATGGCAATTGCCCACATGCCGACTCATCCTACATCTACTAAAGATATTGTATTCCTTCAATCAATTGATCCTCATGTCTTCACAGTGTCTTCATAAGAATATATTGTAAGATTCAAAAAGTCATAAAACACTGCCAGACTGTGAAATATCTCATTTGTTAAACACATTCATCAATTTGTCATTAAAAATAATGTTTATAGACTTTTAAGTAAAATATAGAACAGAGAGACCGTTATCAAAAAAGAAAAAACATTTTGAGGTTTACGTTTGCTCAGTTTCTAAAGTGCTCAGCTTAAAGCAATTTTGTTTACAAAACGTAAACGTGAACGTAAAGCTTTACGTTTGCGGTTCACGTCATAAAAAAACGTGTTGCTTAACCTCTCTAATAACTGCATATATGGAACACAAATATATGCAGCTGCATATAACAACCATCAACAGAGAATACTGAGCAATACACGAGTATTATCACTGAGTATATTTGCTTATATTCAGACATACCTTGCATATTTGCTGTTTACTTGTGATTATATGCAGCGCAGAAACTGCATATACCTGCTTATCTGGGATAGACAAATACAAGGGGCGACCATGTACTCTGATAAAAATGCTCTCATCATGTGATTTTTACACAAACAGTGCTAAAATTTTAAAGTTATTACTTAAATTAATTTTGAGATAAAGTTGCCATGGAAAACTGTATTTAGGGTAGGCAGGTCAGTTAAAGGGACTTAAAAACACTTCAGAGCCTAAAATGAGGGATAATACGAAATACTCCTCAAGAAAACAATCTTACCTTTCTACAAGGATGGGTTCAGGTGCAAAAAAACATCTGATTTATGGATAAACAGGGCGTCAAATAAGTCTGTCCTCCCCCTTAACTTTTTTAATTCAGAAATAACATAGGGTTAGAATATATCATCTTAAAGGGAATTCAATTTGCTGATCACACATCAAATTTCAGAGTGATTGGTTAAATTCCAATTTTTTAGAGGATTTTCAGTGATGTGCATATTTCTCTTTTTTAATAGTCTGTATGTCTCCCCCAGCAGCCTTGATGGCCTCAATTCTACGAGGATATGATCCCGTATAAATCATTCAGAACGTTTAATTTTGGCTGTTATCAAAGATTGTGATGAAAGATGCCCCTGTTTCAAAAGCTCCCCTGAATGTAACACATTTTACTCTGTAACGATATTGAAAAACATCGAAATTACCCAATGCTGGCATTGTCACTGCAGTATTATTTTCACTTTTCAATCACTATACCTGGTTATTTTACTTGTTTTGACGTAATCAAAGGTCAACTACAACCTTACAAGAAACATTGTAGCAATTTTATTAGGAGGAGTTTATGATTGATTTTTTGAGGGTGATCAGCATTTTCCATAAGCTTCAAAATGATATATGGGAAAGTATGATGAATTTAAAGATAAAAAGGTTAAGGGGGGAGAACAGACTTATTTGACACCCTGTATATCATTTCGAAAATTGGAAGCAAGAAATTATTTTTGGAGGCAATGTTTTTTCTACTCTCATAACAGGAAATAGATAATCAAAACGAAAACTTAATTAACATCATTAATTCTGAATTTAGCATAGAATACATATTCAGTTATGTATTCTAATAATTTTAGCATGATTAGCATGAATGTTGTGGAAGAAATATTTTCTTAAACTGGCCGTGTCCAGTGGTTAAAGCATCAGGCTTGTGAACCAATTTTTCCAGGTTCGAATCCCGGACATGGCAAATATTTTTCTTTTTCGTAGCCTGAGCCACTATATATATTTTTATCTCATTTTTATTTAACACAGTGTCATATTTATTACTTTTTGGAGTTTCATAATATAAGTAAAATGTCTTCGTGTGGCTTTAATTTATAATGTATAAAAAGGTAAATTTGTTAATCCAATCGTTCCTCTAAACCTATTTTAAGCAGATCAAATGCACCTTCAGGCCATTGCCAACTATTCATTGAACTTTTCCATACCCCATGTTGCCCTTGTTTGCTAATTTCCACGAACAGGATCTTAAGAGGTTCTGGACAAATCATTTGATTCTGGACTTGTCATATTTTTTTTTCAACGAAATCACATCCAAGGGTTGAATTTTTATTAGCTATTTAGAGAGTGAGTCCTGCCTAGTATTAATTTCAATAAAAAAGTTAAAATAGAACCCTATTTGAGAGTCAATCTAATACTTACATTACATTGATAAATTAAGGCAAATCCTGAAATATTTTTAAAGTGCGTTTTTTTAATGAAATATTATCCAGCAAGTATTTAAATGAAACGGTCTTATTTAAATACAAATCATAACATGATATTTTTCATGAAACATTTTTCAATGAAATTCAATTGAAGGGTCAAGATAAAACGAGCTTATTTAGGTGAAAACTCTTACATGATGATGTGTTTTCATAACTTCTTTCATAAAATTCCATCAAGGGGTGAAGATAAAATGGTCGAATTTAAGTGATTTAAGGATCACGAGAATATGTTTTCTTTGATATTTTCTATGAAATCCCATCCAATGGTCAAGGTAAAATTTTGATTTTGATTTGGTCACGTGTTCGAAAGATCCATATAAGGCCCATAGAACCATATAGGAACGTCATTTTGAATGTCACGTGATAGATCCATATAAGGCTTTTAGAACCATTTATGGAAAGATGAGGGGAAGCCCCTGACACCTGTTTCACGATTTTTTTTGCACTTCATTATTGTACCGAAGTTTGCCGATTTGATTCGTCGTATTTCGGAATCCTGGTGACAATTTTATACTCCATTGGAGTATTTTTGACCTACTTCTTATGACGGAAATTCCCGAACCTTGTTCGGATTAATCCGGATTTTCTGACCTACCTTATCTACCGAGATTTCACGAGTTAACATTCGTCTCATTCCGGAATCCTGGTGACAATTTTATACTCCATTGGAGTATTTTTGATCTACTTTTTCTGGATTTTGCCCTACTTATTATATCTTGACAACAAGCAAATCAAAAAGTTCGACATGAACGGGTCTCGATCAACTAACTTAGACTATGGAAGCCAGGCACGCTAACCATTAGGCCAACGAGCTACCGATATGAATGAACAAAAGTATTATATATTTATACCGAGCGTGAATTCAAAATGATCCTCACTTTTGTCTCCACTTTAATACGACTCGTCAGTTGTATCCAGAATAGTAGAACGCCTATGGCGCTAGTGAATAACCAAGTCCCAGGTGAGTGGTTCGTATCCCTCCGTGATATACTATTTTTACTATACTTAACGGGATTATATGTACTTTCCTTGTTTACATGAACGTAAATCATTACATGAAATCTGCATTCTTCTGGGTTTAATCTGGGTTTGTATTGTCTTATTGGGGCTTTTCGACTTTAAAACAAACCCTACCTAAATGGATTGTGTCTCAGGAACGTTTTTGTTATTATAAACAATTCTGAAAGAATATCACATATTTTTGTCTTCCCGATTTCAGTCATGAATTACGTCAATTTCTCGTGCAAACATTGGGTAGACGTTGTCATAACTTGATGCCCGAACGTGTCAGGAACATATAGATACTCGAATGATGTTGATTGAACATCAGGGTTGAGGGAAATCGTAATTTTACTGAGTGGCTTCACGAAAAAATAAGCAGCACTTTAGGCCACCTAAATACAACTCGTCAGTTGTATCCAGTTGGAATCCCAGCGTAATGTTTTTAATTATATGGTTGTGCTTTGATTTTACGCTGAAAACATTTATAACTACGTCAACTTTATATTAAAACATTTATTATCTTTTCAGTTGTATTAAAATGTAAAATATGATATATGTCAGCTAATTGCTTTCTGGAGAACAGTCAAGGTTTAAAGGATCTTGTACACCTGCCATTATGATCTCCCCATGAACAAAATGAATCATTTTTAGGTGTAATATAAAGAATACAATGTTACATAATACTTTGGAAAATATTTAAGCGTTTGGCCCCACATGGGCTGAGGTTGGGGTCATTAAGTTCAGCAAGGGTGTATTGACTTGACATTGGATGTGTTCTATTGACTTAACATGTGGATACCATCAGATTCCAATGGAGGCCATTGGTTTCTATTGATTTTCACAAAAATACCTAAAATACACTATGACCTGAATCGATTGCAAATTAGATAATTTCACAATATGACACAAATGGTATTTCAGATCAGATGTGCAAATATAAAGTTTGCAATCGATTCAGGTCATACTTCAAATTAAAAGATTATTCATTTTTTCATCATTTTTTCCCTACAAAATGGCTATAGAAAAATGCTTCAAAAGCAACTTTTACACTTATGAAATCCCATACAACTTTGTAAATCCAAAGATTATACTGTTATGATTCATTAATTAATAACATATTTTGATAAGATGTAGGGATGTGTAGGATGCAAATGGATTTTGACAGACACAAAAAGACTTCCTGGTTTGGCATCTCTACCCCTGTACACTTTATGATTGAATATTGCCCTAAAAAGTGGCCCATTCAT